TATAAATAATTTAGGATATATTATTTTAGTAATGGTATTAAAGGCGTAAATACGCTGCTTAGTTCAGTTATTACATAATAACTATATGGTTAACCATACATTGTTGGAAGCTTTTATATTTTTTTTCAAATTTGAGTAACTTTGGTTTTGGTTTCAAATTTGTAAATGTACATAGTACATAGTATTTGTTACAAATACACTTCGCCATTTTGAATATGCAAATTTCAATTAATAAATTAGGATTAATTTTGAATAGTTTTAAATTTTGTTTTTTACTAGCTAGCCATCATTGCACAGTCACAACCAAAAAATTTTTAATATTTTCTAATTCAATGAAAAGGTTTGCGTGTGTTCAAATAATAAAAAAAATATACAAATTAAAATAATTTAAAAGTATAATGACATTTGATGTACATTTACGTTAATCTTCCGAATATAATGCCCTCATTGTCTTTTTGATATACAATATTCGTATAATAATCAATTAGATTTTAATTGAATTGTGTAAGCATTTATTTCTATTGTTATATCTCCGAAAAATTCTATATAATTTTTGGCGTTTAATAAAAATTTTAAATATCTGCATGTAAGTTATCGCCGTATCAAGTAACATATATGTACAAGAGGTATCAATTTACATATTTAGTATATAATACTAATTTCTGCTCACATGAAAATTGCTGATATAGCGTCTGCAATCAAACATTTTTAAACATGAAATTATAAAATTATTATTTACAACTGACTGCTGACACAACATCTAAACACAACAAATTCTTGATTTATGAAATTATTGTTCCCATCAAGAGCACTGATTTAACGTATACAATTGTTTAAGAGACCGGAAATTAAGTTAATTTTAATTAATATAAATACTGTTAGATTTTAAGATATTAATCAGTCTAAATTAAGGTGTTAATAACAGTAGCATTAAATTAGACTGTTAATTGAATTAAAAAAAAAATTGTGAATATCTTTAAGTGAAATTTGTCACATGATTGTAGTAAATTGGATTTTTTTATAATTTGAGTTAGCGCAGTTTAATAACTAGTATACTAAATGAAAATAATAACAATTTAAATCAAAATTTTAAATGAGTAAATTTTTATTTTATTAATAAAAAAAATTAATTCACAGCATTTTAAATTATTTTAAGCTAAAAACAAAATTTATATTAGCTATATTTATATTAGCTATAATTTAAATATAAATTTAAGTAATTTTAAATTTATTTATTTTATAAAAAATAAAACAGAAAAATTTCCATCTAAAATTTATAGAATATGAAAAAAGAAGAAAAAACTTAAATAAAAAAATCAAGTAACAAAGTTTTTAATAAATTTTAATATTTTCATATACTTATAAAAAAAAAACTAAATATTCTAAATTTATTATTTTGATTCTCTTGTTTTTTTTGACAAATTATTTTCCAAAATTAAAATAAGTGTCTTTTAAAAATATTTAATTATAAGAGGGTGGAGGGGGGAATCGCTTGTTCTTATATTTCTTTTTTATTTCTTATTTAATTTAATATTTAATTATTAATTAATTAATTAATTATTTACACATTAAAAATTTTCATATATTTTTTTTTCTTTTTTTTATATTTTTTAAATAATTTTCTATCACATTTTTAAAAAACATTGTTATTTTTTAAATTAATAATTAAAATATTAATTTTTTTTTTGTTTCATTAATTGAAAAATTTAAAAAAAAATTAAAAATAAAAAATAACTAGGTAGTGAAATGTTTAAGGAAATTTGAATTTTTTTGATAAAATTTAAATTTGTTATTTTTTTTAATTAGCTTTTCTATAATTTTTATAATAGTTTTATAGTATAAGATTGTAATGATTTTATAATTACATAATTTTTAATAAGTAAGTATTTTTTTTTTTTAAATTCAGTAAATTTTTCTTTTTAATTTTTTGCAACATTTTATGTTAAAATTGATAATTAATACATGATAAAGAATTATTAAAATTTTTAATTAATAAAATAATTTACATTAATTTGAAATTTAAATATTTTTTAATTAAAACTTAATTTAATGAATTTATTTTATGTTTTAAATAAATTTTATATGAAAATTGAATATTAATTTGCAAATTTAAGAAAAAAAAAATTAAAAACTAACAATATTTTGTCCGATTTTTCTAATACGTCATTGTGTATATTTTATTTTTAAATTAAAATGTAAAGAAAATTTGCGCGCAATTGCACAAATACTTTGCCATATTATACAAAAAATTTATTTGTATTGCAAAATATTAATGTACTTGCGCATTTTGTTCATAATTACTTATACAGGGTCGTGTTATATCATTCTAAAGGCACACAAAAATATTATGTCCAATTTATATTGTTAATCACTGTTTATTTTGTTGTAAAAATTATAGAACTGTTATATTTTAAGAATTTTTTTTTTATATTTTAAAAAGTTTTAATTTTTCCAGTAATAATTATCAATTTTATTTAATAAAATTATTGAAAAAATTATACAAAAATACTTACTTATTTAATAAAATATTTAATTTAATATTTTCTTTTTATATTTAATTAATTTATTATTTAATTTTAAAATTTTTATTTAAATCAAAAAGAAAATATAAAAATTTCTTTATATTTTTTTTTTTTAATTTTTTAACAATATTTTAATTGAAAGTGCGTCTAAAAATTTATATAACAAAGAGAAAATAATTAAAATAGAAAAAAAAAACATTTACATTTTAAATTGGTAAATTTGATTATGTGGGTATAAGTATTTGTAGGTATAGGTGTACTTAATATTTAAAGAAAAAAATTACGTATTTCTGGTTCTATTTCGTTGAAAATTGGATTATATATATTTGTATTATAATATTTATGTAATATATTATACATATATATTTCGTAAACATACATACAAATATGATAAATACATATTTATTGCATAAAATTATCAATTACGCATTTGACGTAAGTGTATGCCTGTCAATATGAAATTTGAAAGGTGTTCGAATGAAAAACATGTTTTTCGTCACTTTATTCGAATTTTCTTTGTCACGCAAAATTTAAGAGTCTCATTTCGAATGATATATTTTGCAAAATGACTAAATATTTAGAAAAATTTTTTAGAAACTTTAAGTTGATGACCCAATTCAATATAATTAATTTTGGAAGCTCATTAATTTGTGTTATGTTTATGTAATTTCCAATTCGGGCAAAAAAGCAGACCACTTTCATCTAAAAATTCAGTTACATTAAAATGATTAATAAGCCATACCACCTATATATTACCGGTTAATAATTTAGCAGTAACCACTGCGACCGAATATAAATAAAGATCTTAATCATTTGGTTGAGAAGTACTTGGAAAATTTTCATACCGCTAGGTTGCTTTAATAAGTATTCATTTAATTAAAATGATTAAAATGTCAAATTATTGATATTTAAAAATTTTTTTCTCCAGTATAGCAATATTGACTTTTCACTTCTAATTTCGTATTATGGTCACAGGCGAAAAATCATTGCAAAACATTTCGAACTTTCAATGTGGTTTGATCAAAAAAATTATATATAATATCAAAGAAAAAATATTATAACAAAATATTACTTTTTATTTGTCACTCGTATTGTGCTGTTATAAAACTATTTTAAAAGTGGAAACTAAAAAACATAAAATGTTAAATAACATTATAGTTGTTTATAAAATAGTTTTAACACCGATAATAAATATTAACTAAAAAATTTTACAAGAATTTTAAACAAATATTACAATTTAAATTAAATCGCAAAAACAAAATACGAAAAATATGTCAAGATCATTATCGTAAATATGACATTTTAGTTGTCAAACATGACATATGAAGAAAGTGAATAAAATCATTATTTTACTGACAACCTAAACAATATGAAAACAATATGTAAAATTGTGTTTTTGTCTTTTATTTGAAAGTGTTATACAAAGATTAATTGCCCCATGTAATTATTTGTATGTATGTTTATAAAATATTTATATTTAATAATATTATTTTGTTTTTTTTTTTTTTTAGATATTTTTATTTAGATTTCTCAATTGTGTGTGTGTTTTTTTTAACTACTTTGGTATTGTTGATTAATTCTTATTTAAATGTTACTATTTTGTTTTTATTTTGCAGAAATGAATCTTGTTTTATACATACATATATATATATATGTTTATATACGTATAAATATAGGTTTTTGTTTGATATTTTATTTAATAAATTGAAGTTTTAATATTAATTAATTAATTGAACTATATATTTTTTCGAAATTAAATTTGACTTTTATAATTAAGTAATAATATATTAGAGTTTTATATTTAGTTTTGTGTTTTTGTGTTTTGTTTTACAATTTCTCTCTTTCTTTTCAAATATATAAGTATATATATGTATATATACTAATAATTCTTTTAAGTATTTTTATAAAGAGTTTTTTTTTTTATTTGTTTGTTTGTTTTTTTTTTTTTAATATCATGTGAATTAGTGTATGTTTATTTACTTAATTAAAATTTATTTTATTTGTTTTAATTTTTTTTTTTGTTCAACTAAAGAAATTAGAAATTAAAATACTTTGTTTTTACATTTCTTTTTTGTTTTTTATAATTTATGCACTTTCCTATGGAAAAATTAAAAGATTAAACACATACATACATTTATGTGCGTATGTATATGTTATGTATACAAGCGATATAAACAAAAACAAAAAAAAAAGAAGTACTTAATTAAGAAAACAAAAAAAAAAAAAGAAAAAAAAAATTGTTTAATTATTTTTGTTTTTCTTGTTTTTTTTTTTTTAATTTTTATAAGCTTAAATTAATTTTAGTTTATTTTTTGTATATCATTTTTATAGTTTCAAATATGTTTTTTTATATAAGAAATTTTATATAATATATTATTTGCTTTTTTTTTTTGTTTTTTTTTTTTTAATTTTTTGTATTTTTTAATTATGTATGGACAGACGTTATGGTATTTCTATTTCATTTTTTTTTTTAATTAATTTAGTAAATAGTATGCTTTCAGTTTCAAAGATATTGTATAAATTATTTTGTGAGTTTTTTTCCGTAATTTTTATAATTACTATTATAGGTACTATAAATTTTGAGTAACAATAATTTGTAGGTATAATGTGGTATTTGATAAAGTGTAATCAGTAAAAAATGCTCCTGTATGGCAAAGTGTTACAAAGGCTTTTCATATATTAAGTATTGAACAAGTAAGTTTAAAGAGTTCTGACAAAAATAAATTTTTAAATATGACTAAATTTGTGAAATAACAATTAATGTTTTCTGAAGAATAACAAAGACAATATCGGAAAACATATTACGATATGAATAGATCAATTTCGAGAAGAATCATTCAAAGGGAGAAAGTTCCATTTTTAATAAGAAAAATGATTGTAGTGTATACTGTGACGATAGCTAATGTTTAATAGAATTTATTTTTTGAAGCTGAAACATTGTAAATATTACATGAACAGTGTCACACAAATGTAAGTTAGATTAATAATTTCAATCCAAGGCATCACTACTAGATGTATGACTAAGTTCATAATGGGATATGAACAAAATATCGCCGCTATCAACGCCTGTCCAGAAATTTTTCAATAATTTTAACAAAAATTTGTTAATTACAAATATTTGGTAATAATAGTATTTTAATTCGACATGTTAAATTATGATTTGAAATCATTGAATTGAACATTAATAAACTTATTCAGCCAATGGAAAATAACACAAAATAAGACAACCGCAAACTTATGAAGAAAAATGCATGGTTAAAGTATTTGTTAAACTGAGATGACATTTTGTTAATAAAGAAATTATGTTTGTCACATCAGTTTTTTTGTAAAATACATAAATGAAATATGAATGTAATGTTTTGACTTTACAACCTTTAATTTTACATATATGTATATTTGACAAATCAAATTATATTACTAAAAAATATTACATATATCTGTCAAATTATATACCTATACAATAAATTTTTTGTTACTCACACTTTTAAGGTTAACGTCATTGAAAATTTTTTGTATGAACAATATTATTGGATGAATAATCATAATGAAAGCTATTATCGTTAATTTTGTGGTGAGTAATCATTTTTTCATGTAAGTTTATTTTATTTTATTATAAAAAAATAATTACATTTTTTTTTTTGTAATTTTCAATAAAATAAAAAACTTGTTTTGTTTATCTATCTGTTTTAACTAATGTCAGGTGCTGGGAACTTTATTTACCTAACCATGCAACATCAAATTGGAAAGATCTTATGAATTTATCTTAGTTTTTAAATGAAGAAATGGCACTATTTTTGACATTATTAGATCGACTAATAGCATCTATTAATTTCATTAGCAAAATTTTAATCTACTCTGCAGTGAACAACGTATATGGCTCCAATAGTTTAATTTTGCAACAATACATAAAGAATAATTCAATTTGGCCTTTGAGAGAAAGCTAATTTTAACTAAATCAACTTTTGTCTTGCACTATAGTAAATGAGACTAAAAAGAGCCAGCTCTACAGAAGAGCGAACCATTCCAATTAACATTTTTTTTTATTCTTCCCCACGATTACCAAACCCAATCTTTTTTTGTAACTCAATTGTAGTCTAATTTTACATATCCGCTGAAAGGGTCAAATTTAAATTGTAAAATTAAAATACGTTGAGAAATCATTATTCATCAAGAACAAGGAATGAATAGCTTTTTTAAATTTTTCATAGACCGGCTCAGGGCTTTCTAGGTTTTGTCCGTTTTAATCACATAATCTCTTGCTTCTATCAAAACCCTACAAATCATGTTCAATTCAATAAAAGATGAGTTCTTTCAAATTATAATTCCAAAATAAGAATTATGAAACATTTCAATTCAAAAAATGAAAAATGCTGAATTCTAATGTGATATTACTAAAAGTGAAATTGCACTTTCGCAATGTTCATTTGTAGAATTCCTTATAGAACCTTTCAAAAGATCTACAGTTCATAAATGTACAAATTGTGCGATCAATTTCTATGGTTCTTACATAACGATATTTAAATGCGCATGTACACTACATAGACATTATTGTTCTATTGGCACAAATACAATTATACCTTGTATACGACATACATGTATACACTCATTTGTATGAGAATTCAAATCAAAATTTGAAATATTTTTCGATAGTAAGGAAACTAATTGTAACGGTTTTCAAAGAATATAATTCTATACCGAATCTACTAAGCGAAGTAATAGAATGATAAAAAATTTTCGAAAACAAGAATATACTGTTGCCGGATTAATTTCGGTAATCCAATAAGTATTTTTGTAAAAAAAAAAATCGTAATATATTTTCCATAATTCTTGTAGTTTTCCTTATCAAACTTGTAGCATCTTAAGTTCATTAATATTGAATTGGGTCGAATGAATTTTAGAATAAAACACAATAATTTAGAAAAAATGTGACTTAATTTGAAGAAGTGTTATAGGGGAAAATAAGTAATGTTCGATAAACTAAAAATCCAAATATGAAATTTTGATCGGTGACAAATTTTTGCATACTTGAAGTTACAATACAGGAATATTTTAATTATTTAATTACTTTATCAAATATATCTCTAGCCATATAAAACATATCTGTACTTTATTCTTCATAAAAAATTACAAAATTCAATTTTTCTCAAAATTTACTATAATAGTAAGTAGTAAAAATTATTTTTTATACAAAAATTTATTAAAATTTTATTAAACAGACTTAAATTTGAGCTTACCCACATCATCTTACAACCCATAATCCTAAATTAAGTTTAGATAATTTTGGTAATTTCATTATACAATCTAATCCATTCGATGATAATTGTGTACAACCATATAAATCTATTGATTTTAATGATTTTCCACTAGATGATTCAACTAAAAATTTTAATCCATTATCTGTTATTCTTATACATTGCCCTATATTCAATACTTCTAAATCCCTTAATGACTTAGCTATTTTCTCTATACCTTCATCAGTTATTTGGCACTGATTTAAGCTAAGTGATTTTAAATTATCTAATCCATTTGCAATATGTGCTAAAGCATGATCCGTTATTTTGTCACAAAAACTAACATCTAAACATGTTAAACCGGTGCATCCTTCTGTTAAGTATGCCATTCCAATATCTGATATATTATCACATGAACGTAAATTTAATTCTTGCAATTCAGGCATTTTTGCTAAATGTTTTAGGCCACTATCCGTAACTGATACACAAAAACTTAAATTAATTACTTTTAGTGATGTCAAACCTTGTGCAATATGTCCTAATGCTTCATCACTTAAACGTTGACAGTCTTGCAATCCTAGACTTTCTAAAGCTAGATTACCCTCAGCTGTTTTTTTACTTAATCCTGCTAAATGACCTATACCTTGATCACTTATATGCCAGCATGATCGTAAATTTAAATGTTTCAATTTTTTTAAACCCCAGGCTATTAATAATAATCCAGTATTAGTTATATTACAACAACCACCCAATTCAAGTGTTTCCAAATTTTTTAAATATTGTGCTATACGACCTAAACTAGAATCCGTTATTTGTTTGCATAATGATAAATCTAATACTTTTAAATTTGGTAAATCTATTGAAAATGCATGTCCTAAATTCATATCAGTAACATTATAACATCCACTTAAATTTAATTCAGTTAATTGTGGTACATTAACAACAACATCCTTTAAAGTTCTTCGTAGTGATAGAATTTGAACCTTTTTAATACCTCTTTTGACTAGCGATGGAAATAAATTTGGACTGGAACGTTTTAAATGTAGTTTTGCTTCAACACCCTTCCATACGCTCTTTGAATAAGCTGCATCACGCCAAGATGTACATACTTGTGCAGCTCTTCCACGATCTCTCACTGATAACTTTTCAAATATCATTTCTAAAATTTCGGGATATAAATGACCTATATGTGTACCTTCGATTACCGATGGTGAATTTGAACGTTTAGGGCTACCAATTTTTTGGTGATGATGATGATGATGATGGTGATGGTGTGAATGTAAATGTGGATGATGACTTAAGTGATGTGAATATGATGGATTACCGGAACTAGAACTACCATTATTATGATGAAGTGATACTGGTAAATAAAGAGATGGCTGTTGTGATATTGGAGCACTTTGTAGTTGTGGCCGATGCAACGCATACGGTGCAAATCTTAGTAAATGATGCGTTGATCGATGATTAGATAAATTATGACCACCTGGTAATTCCGTTTGTTGTGATACTAAATAATCTTCCATACGCGAAACATTACTACCTGATGCAGCAGCCGTTGATAATAATGAATTGGCGACTGATGAACATCCCATCAAATTTCCTTTAACATCAGTTGATGTAGCTGCAGCTAAAGCTGCTACGGCTGCAGTTAAATGTTGAATATAATCAAAAATTGATGATATCGCTTGTGGTGAGTTCTTTAATCCAAGATTATTTGAAGAATTAGAATTTGAAGTTGAGTTTGATTGTGGCAATGCCAACATTAGAGGGGCATTTGTTGCCATAATAATTTTATACACAATGATTTACTTTTTTCTTTTGCTGTTATTTTTTGAATATTTTTGAAAATATTTTATTTCAGTATTTTAATTTCAATTTTTTTTCTTAATAGATTATCTTTTAACGTTTTAAACATGACCTTTGAACATTTATGAACATATGTAGGTATTTAACACATTTGAAATATTTTTTTTTATATATTTTAATATTTTAAATGCTTTTATGTATATTTTATATTTTTATATCAAATTTTTTCACAGATGATCAAATTTCTTAACAGAATTATCAAAACACTATACACGATATTCAAGAAATTTGTTTATTTAATGCCAGAACAAGTAAAACTTTAAGAGCGGATGTTGATATCATTTATTTACTTTTTTTTTTTTTTGCTTATCATCCATTTCTTTCTCAATTTAAAAATTTTTTTTTTATTCACATTCTTTTATTTACGTTATTTTTTTCTTTTTCATTATTTTTGTTTTTTTTTTTTTGTATTTTTGTTGTTTCCAAATATCCAGGAGAAAAATCAAGTAAGAAATAAAATGCTATTTTTAATCCGCCAAATATTATCCGTTCGAATTATTTACCGATTCTAGGCAACTTAACAATTCAACGGCTTATAAACAACTGAAAATAAGACGAAATATTTGCTAAACTTTTACTACTCAGTAAGCATTTATTACAACACTGTTTAGTAATATTTTTGTTTTCAATTCATGAGTATCGAATTCAACACATTCAATATTTTTCCAACACAATTTCAAATATTGTTTGAGTGTGTTTGTATTTTTACTAGAAAAAAAATTATTAGTTTACTCTTAGTGAGAGTGATGTCAAGGGCTACCGTTATCGTCAACTGTAGTAGTAGAATTTTGTAGTGACTATTTCAATGTAAATTGCAATAATTATGCAAGATAGCGATATGAATAATATTGCGGTAATTGCAAAGATAACGAATATAAAAAGAAATCTTCCAATATTTTGAATAAGAAACCGAATAAAATGTAAATTGACACACATCTGAACGTCAAAATAAAATTTATTTTACTCTCTCAACATTTTGAAATTCTAATTTTATACCATATGGCAATTCCGAATCATCTTCTCAGAGAGTAAGTTTTTCTCTCTTTATTCAGCAATTGTTTATTATTATTTTATTTTCTTTTACACTACTTAACAAAATAATAAAAAATAAGGATATATAAGGATATGTAGGTACTACGAGTAAACTTAATGATTCACGTGGTTGTAGCATTATTATTTTTTGAGAAATATTTGTTTTGAATTTTAGTACGTAAAAAAAGTTTTCTGTTTTTTTAACTTTTCCGAATTGTTGTTGTAAAGCGAGAAAACGTGAATTTTTGACTTGTTTTGTTTTTTTTTTTTTGTTGAGAAAAAGAGAAAGAGTTTGAATTTTATAAGGATGGAATTTTAAGAAATAAGAATTTGTATCAAATTGTGAACAACAGTAAGGCTTATATTCGTAAATTCGGTGTGATATATCAGCAATAGATCACCTTTTAAAACTAAAAAAAAATATCATATATAATTTTTTACGAGGAAAACCAATAGGTGCAATATGAAAGCTTATTCAAGGGAATATCTGATAAAAAATGAAATATTGCATTTAAATACCGAGCTTGAATAAAAAAATATTTCAATTTTATTGATATTTATTATTTTTGCAGTGAAAATAAGAGAAAATTGAAAATAAATAAAAATCAAGTTCGATCACACCAATGATTTGTAAAGTAGCACTTTCCCCTTCAACTAGCAAAAATATTAATTTTAAAATTCTTAAATTAGCTACTTTAAATCACGTGCTTTCATTCATGTATCAAAATAATTTAAAAATTGCCTATATTTAGGATGAAGGAAAAAAAACCATTTAAAAGAGACTTTAACTGTTCGAATTCATGAGTTAATTGCGTGAGTTAAGAAAAATAATTATATTTTACGATAGCATGACATTTACCGTTAACTTTCTGCATTAATAAAAATTTGGAAAAGCTTGTAGTTTCGAAAATAAATGTTACCGAAAATTCAAATTTAATAAATTTCGTGAGGCGATACAATAATTTAATATTAATTTTGCTGTGAGGCGGTGAACCGAAATAAGTTTTTTGTAAAAATCTATTTGTATATGATATTTCAGCTTTGAGAGTTTAGAAGTTTTGTAAACGGGTCATCGGTAAGCACTTTTTTCAATTTTTTTTTTTGGAAATATGGTAAAACCAACTTATAAATATCAGCGTCACTTAATATACTCATTATACCTATAATAATCATATTACAATCATAACAGCTGATATATTCATATAAACGACATGTATCATATTTGATACAAAGAAAAATCATATGACAAATATTTTCAGTTGAATTAAGCCTACTGCTTGGGAACTACTATATGTACACATACATATTACGTTATCTATGCATGTATTTTAAAAGCTGAATTACAAATTTTGAAAAAAATGTGAGAGCATTAATTCTTATATTCTTCAATATAGAATATAAAATACAAAATAGTATATATACACTTGTTATTAAATACAAAATTTTTTCGCTGAATAAACTATATATATATATATATACAATATTCAAACACAATCATAATAACATGTAAAGTGTATAATATTAATTTTCGTATATGTATACAAATTATTTTTTATGTATAGAGTATTTTTTATATAGGTATTTAAAATAAGTATATTCGTATATACCGTATATACGAATATATTTATATTATATATTTTGTGTAAAATTTCACACTTGAAAGAACGAATGACTAAAATATGAAAAAAAAATTTAAATACTCGTATCTTTTCTCACTAGCTATTCATTTATTATTATTTTATTTTATTTATGTCAGTGTGTTGGTAAATTTACATGTGACATTTTTAACTTATACATATGAAAAATTTTTCTATTTACATTCAAAAAGTACTTTGAAATTTTATGCAATGATATGCGTTTTTCTTTTTCATTATTTATATTTTAATAATAATATATAAGAATAAAAAAAGAAAAGAGAAAAAAAAATTATTTTTGTATTTTGTTTTTGACTTGAAATCGTCTGGCTGGTTTAACTAGTTTGTTTTGATTATTTGTTCTATTCTAGGTTAAATGATGCCATGCAGCTGAGACGATTGAATTTCTTTCTCAAAAAAAAAAAATACTTACCTAACCAATATTGTATTTATATATTATTATTTTATTTATTATAAAATTTACAAATATATAAATATGAATGAATAAATTGTTTTGTAAGGTACATTATATGGAGGTATCCTATGTTGTCATGTATAACTAATAGTTATAAATGATGTAAATTCGTATAGAAATATAATAAATTTAAAATATTTATATAAATTATTATATACACACATACATAGCTATATATATTAATATAAAAAGTAATAATAAATAATGTATGTATGTATGTATGAACACATGCATATACAACCTATATATAGTGTTTAATTTATGCACATGTTTTATAAGTAAAAATAAAAAATAAAACTTGGCATGTGTGAATTAATTTTTTTCTACATCATTCAGGTATTTTTATTTTTTTTTTAATAATTAAAAAAAAAAATTTATTTTTTTGTTTTTTATTTTTCTAATAAATAAATCAATTTTTCTCTTTAATAAAATTATAATTAAAAACAAAGTATAATAATAATTAAAATTATGCATAAAAAAAATTTTTTTTTGTAATAAAATGAAATTTTACATTGCAGTATTAATAATTTCCTGCTTACGTAACACAGCCTGTTCCTCTATCTCTACTACAAAAATCTATTATATTTAATTCGTATATTTGAACCGTATTCATTCTACAATAATATTAACATTTAAATTTTTTCACAAAGAAAATGAACTTAATTAGACCTTTGTGAATTAAATTTTCAATAGAGTTACGTATCAATTTTAAAATTTACTTAAAATACACTAGAAATTTGTTTACAGCCCGGTAGACTTATTCACTCTGTTATACAATATAAATAAACAATAATAATATTACAGTTTACGATACGAAATATCGAAAGCGTAATATTAATGGGAGAAAACAAAAAATTCAGTGTTTTTCTCATATTGTAAGATTCAACATATTAAATAGGCTGAATTCTGCAATATGGATTGAATTCTGCAACATGGACAGAATTCTGCAAAACAGTCACAATATATGGTAAATGTAATACAAAAACACGCAGGTGCATATAACTGTTCTACCCTGGATTTATGATTTTACAGTACTGTTAACGAATTTTTCACATGATCAGAAATGTAAAGTATTCCTCATTTAATTTCATTTTGAGAAATGAATATAAAATTGTTGAATTAAAATAATTGATAAAAGATTCAAAATTTTCTGAAAATTCCAATTTGTCAAAAAAGCAGTGCCAAATTTTTAATTACTGTTCTTTTCTTTTATCATTTCAGTAAACAAAAATTCTCAAAAATTCAAATTTTTTATATTATAATTATATAATATAACAGTTTCATCTCAAAATATGACAATTTTCTAATATAGTTAAAATATTAGCAAATTTTAAATTTAAAAGACTTGAAATTAAAAAATTTGTAAATGTGGTAATAAAAGATAAATATATAGTTTAGAATTGTATGGAAAAGTTTCTTCAAAAGTTTGGATTGAGCTTTAAATAAATTCTTAAAGAAATTTAATAAATTAAAACTAAAGAATGACTTATCACAGATTTTCGGCATTTTTACTCAAATAATTAGGTGAAAATAAAAGAATAAGTTGGAATATTCGACTATGACTAATGTTCTTTTTTATTTCTACTTCGCTTCTGGGAGTAGCATAGGATTGGCACACGATATTGGAGATAACCGTGAACACCATTTTCTTACGTTATTGAGCTTTACTAGGTAGGTGACGAGCCTATCGCGTAATGAACAATAATATGAAGCTATATATTATAAACAATTCATTTAATTTTTTGGTTCCTGCATTTGCTTAGTAGTCAAGTTTTGTGTTCTATACATAAGATTAAGTTGGTGCAGTTGAAAAAAATGTCACAGCCCATTGAGTTTTAATTTTGGTTTTTCAAGATAGCTATGACTGATATTGATTTTCTTAAAAACACATTCATATTAAATGTTTGACTTTCATTTATCGAATATATTTTTAGAAGTGTAAAGCTTAAATTCAAAAGATTTTTTTATTTTTTCAAGATTTTATCCTTTAGAGAAGTCTATTTATTTTTATATATGTAGATAATAACATTTCAACATTATCTGTTATCAATAATCAACATTGTGATATAAGGTTTAAGATAAGAAATAAAATTATTTTCTTAATCTATATGCACATTATTTTTTCTATATAAAATGTGTATATTATCAAATATTACTTCAACATTTCTTTTATGATAAGACAAAAAAAGATTTTGTATGATAAGGTGCGAATGAAAGAAATCACGAGTTTCTGGTTTAAAAATCTAAAAAAGATTTTATATTGCAGTGTTGTAATTTAATTTACAGATGTATATAATATACGGTGAAGTTAATCACATAATTGTATTTAAAAAGCTCATCAGATTTTGTTTTCAACAAACAGGTGAAGAATTCTGTTGAACTTCTAATATATTGCAGTAGTAATTTAAGTAATACAAA